CAGAATTTGTTCCCAAACATGTTTCTAATTTCATTACCTCTAACATTGTTTGACTCGGGAACTTTGAGAAAGTTTATTGAATTTTTCTTAACAGGCATGTTCTAAAGCTCTGATGGAGATTCAGAATCTAAAGTATCAGAAGTCACGGGTTATCATACATTTGCTCAAAGGAAATTCAACCATACTCTGATGAAGTGACATATTGATCAAGTTATGTTACTTGATAATCTAGCTTTGGTTTTTAACAACCGTTCTCCGAGACATCATCAAACTCTGATCAGATACATCACCATGTTCTGATAGCAAGCTATAATTTGAGATAATGGTTTCTACATTTCTAGTCAGAATCTTGATGTTAATTCAATCAGGGAAGTATACCTTCATTTTGATTGATTTGTGATATATATATATATCAAAACTTCTTTAAATGTTAAACTCAGCGGGAGACTTTGAACAAGATTAAATAATTTATGAGAGTATGGACTCAGGGGGGATGTTTAGTTAACTCTGAATTGTTTTATGTGATTAAACCTAGTATAAATTGTTTATCAAATTACATGGTTTTGTCATCATCAAAAAGAGGGAGGTTGTAAGAACAAGATTTGGTTTTGCATCTCGCCTTTAGTTTTGATGATAATAATACATGGATGAATAGATAACAATTTAGTACACTAATGGTTTTGTCTGGTATGTAGATTTTTCTAACAGGTTATGACTCTGAAGATATGTCGTGTGATGTCATCAGGCTTTAAACTCAACACACTAAGTGATACAAGTTTGTATTTCAAGGATCAGAATGCAAGTAACAGTTATAAGGAATGTTAACTTCTAAAGCTTTTGTTTGTAACTCTGATGGTATACCTTTCAAAGGCTTCTCAAGCTCTGAAGAATCTAGTCTCTCTTGCTCCAAGGTTATAAAGATTCTGAAGAAAAGGTTCTGATGAACAAGTTCTAAAGACTATGAACACCAATGACTCTAAAGACCAACATGCTGAAGACTCTGAAGACAAGGTTATGATGAACGAGTTCTGAAGACTCTGAAAACAAAGGTTTTGAAGACTGGTTTTGATCCTTCGAAACATTCTTCAACATATACATACTCTTAATCCTATGAATATTAGAAGATAAGATCAAAAGTTTTTACGTGAGAAATAGTACATGATCACCTCCTTCCACTACTCTGATTTTGTGGTGAAAGGATTGTACTATTGGTATAATATTGTCTACCACTCGCACTGACCATTATGCAAGAAGACATCTCGAACTCTAGTATTCATATTCTATCCTCCAACAAATTTCTTTTTGGCTATAAAAGGAAGAATTAGAAGAATTGGAAAATAACTAATTTATGATGAATCATTCTACTAAAACGCTGCTGAAACTTCATTGTAAATCTTTTGTAAAGTTTTGTAAATCAAGCAACTTTTGTTCATTAACTTTCTAGCAAGGAATTATTGTTTCCTAACTTGATTTTAACACTATTGTATTATTCCTGTGTATTTCAACTTATGTAATATGCTTTCTTAGAAGCATCTTGTAAACACACAATCTTGTATTTCGACCTTGGCTTGATTGTTCCTTGAGACACTAAGGTTTTAGTATGAATTTGCAAGAAGTCATTGATGGGAAGTCTTTGTGGTTGTAAACATTGACGGTTAGTCTTTGTTTGTGTCTGTAATCAGATTGGTTATAGTAGATTAAGTCCTTGTTGAGAAAGGAAAATCACCTTGGTGGATGGAATGGATTAACTTAGTTAACAGTGAACCATGATAAAAATAATTGTGTTTAATTATTTTTGTTATTGTGTTAACTTCAAGTGTTTGGTTTCAAACAGATTTTATTCTTTGAAATCTAATTCAAACCCCCATTTCTTATGTTTCTTGCACCTTTAGCACGTACGTGTCGTAGCGCGAAAAACACTTGAGCACATCGCACACTCAAAATACATCAGAGTCTCCACTGAAATTTATTTATTCCAAAAGGAAAGAGAAACTATTGATAAAACCCATAACGGACGATAAAATGGTCATCGCATCCAAATTAGGGTTCGAGAGTCAGTTATGCAAGGAAAAAGTATTAGCACCCCTCAAATCCTTGTACTCAACGAGACACATTCAATTAGTTTTGTGAAAGAGTGTTAGCTTTTGTTTATGTTTGATCTTCTACTTCTTGCGAGAATATACAAGAGAAGTAGAAGGAGAAATATTTTTAGGTTTTTTGTTATTATGCTCGCTAAGATTTCAAAATCACGTGCCTACGTATTTTCAGGTGTAATGAGAAAATCAGAGCTTCATGGTTCATGGTATAAAATTACGTATTGGTTGGTTGAGTTTATTTGTGAAAATGAGCCTAGTCGCACTTGGGCCGAAAAAAAATTTGATGAGTTATTTTGATTTTAGTTATTTAAAAAATGCCTTGAAACTTGGTTCATTAATTTAGAAAAGTCTTGATGTTGACAAAGCGTTCAATTGCTTTGAATTTTATTGTGAAAATGACTTCAAGATTGTTAAGGTTTATTTGTGAAAATTGGTGAATGGTCGGTGAAATATTTATTGAGAAATGCCACTTGATGTTGATCAAGTGGTCTTGAATTTATTATGGTAGAAGACTTATTTTTAGTTTTTTGAGTTTGATTGATGATTACTAATGATGATTGAAATGGTAACGAAATAAGAAGTACAGAAATAACTATAATGAAATGTAAACGAGATAAATCAAGAAAGCAAGAATCAGTTACAATAATAGAAAATAAATCATCTACTCAAGATATAAGAGAATAGATAAATTAAAAGAAATAAAAAAATCATTAAAAAGAAGAAAAAATGAGAAAAGGTGCAAAATATAAATAAAAGGGGTGAGAAATGAATCACGGTGTTGGGCTAAGCCCAATATTATTTTGGTCTTTTGTTTTTTCTTTTTGAGTTTAGAATAAAAACAAGGGTGTGAATAAAAACGGATGGCTTCAGTTGCAAACTCAGGTAAGCTCTCACATTATATGCTCAACTTCTGATTTAATTCTCCTTCGTTTTTCAAGATTCTAAAGGCAATTGTGATGAATTATTTAGCTCTAAACTAACTTAGAGTGAATTCATGTTAGGAATCACTCTTTAAGAAGTCAGGTTAGAAAATGGACTAATAGGGAGAAAAAATGAATTTGATTATTTATGGATTGAAGTAGTTTTTGTGGAGATAAATAGATTAAAAAATGGATTAAGAAAAAAAAAGGATTTTGATTTAACTTCTTATTAAACACAAATGGTAGAAAAATGTTTAAATCAAATGGATAATAAAAATGTGATTATTTGTGAATGTAAAAAAAAATAAAAAGCAAAATTATGAATGAGGATTAATTCAAAATATGATGAAGACTGAAAAGTTGCATGATTGAATTTTGTCGACTTTTCTTTTACAATGCCACATGACTTCTAAAAATGCAAGACAAGGACGGTGATATGATAAGATGATTGACCTTAAAGACTGTGCACAATCTTTTTTTTATTTTATGAATGTATATGAGATTTAATGATCAACTATAAAAGTTATGTTATATAGATAAGTTAGAAATTTTTAGGATAAAATTTAGGGTATGACAACTGTCTCTATTTAAATATCTTTAATCGGGAGATATGGAGAATGCAATCTTCATATCGGTGTGGTGGAAGATAAATAAATATAAAACAAACTTAAATATTGTCCTTAAATACAATGCGATGATATGTTATGTTATGAATTTATGGATTTTTTTTTTTTGTTGGGGATATGGAATGAGAAACAAATTCTATGGAGATTATTAAAAAAATGATAGTAAAATATTTAAATCAAATGGATAATAAAAATGTGATTATTTATGAATGTAACTAAAAAATAGAAAGCAAAATTATGAACGAAGATTAATTCAAAATATGATGAAGACGGAAAAGTGGCATGATTGAATTTCGTCGACTTTTCTTTTACAATGCTACATGACTTCTAAAAATTCAAGACAAGGACAATGATATGATAAGATGACTAACCATAAAGACCGTGCGCACAATTCAATACAAATTTCTATTTCTTCTTCTAGTGAAAAAATTTCAAAATTTTAAAAAACCATGACTAGAGAAGAATGTGTACAAGTTACCAACCAACTCATTTCTATAGTAAAGGTAGAAGTCTTTTTATGCATATATTCATAGAAAAAACTCGTCAGATGATAAAAATAAAGATGAGAAAGAACAAACTCAAGGAATGGACAATCTTAAAATATCATCATTTTGACTTATAACATATGACATGTCTCAAAAGGAGAAGGCATCCATAATCAAATCAACATATTGAAGAGATAATTAAGGAATTTGAAATAAAAATTATAATCTATACTTTCATTCTACATCAACAAAGAAGAAGGTAAGTCTATAGAAGAAGAAGACTCCATGTATGATTAACTATCTCCCTTACATTTTCCTTTTGTTTGCATACTCTATGCATATGTCTTGCACCATACTCTATTAACGTGGGAAAAAAAGGATTGAAGTAAATCAAAAAGCAAGGAGGTTCCGATGTTTGAGTGATTCAAATGCTAAAAACAATATCAAAGGAACAAATGTTTATGCAAAAAACTCGTCATCTGATATACACATTCACATAACTTATATTCAAAATTTCATCTTTTTTCAAATACTTGTAAGAAAAACTTTGGAAAAGGAAAACATAATCAATAATTTAATCGATTATAAACCAAATTTGACCTATAATTGATTATGGTGGTAATGTAATCGGTCATAATCTCCAATTCTTTTAACTCTTAGTTCAACTAATTTTAATTAGTTAAAATACCCCTTCCAGCAAGGTTAATAAATAAATTGATTGCAGATTATGTTGAATGAATAACATGCTAAATCAAGACAAATATAAGTTTAAGGAAATCACATAACATCACATCATTAAAATAAATAAAAAAAACAATCAATCACAAAATTAACATAACAAAAAAAAACAGAATAATGTTGATCATATATAGTTTAGAAGCAGAGTCTTCTCTTACATGACTCAAATGGCAAAGTATAAAGGCATCCTAATTCTCTAACAATCTCCTCCACCAAATCTCTGCAGATACAATCTTGCAAAGCCAGTCCTATTCTTCCAACCTCTCTATTTTCTCCCCAAGCAACGTCTCTACACACCTCCTCTACACTTCTGATCATGCCTTTACTACTCAACATAATTGAACGATCTTCCTCATTCACTTTCTTATTAACCAACTCGTTTGTTATTCTCTCGTGCATATATAATGTGCTGCTGATTTCTTCTTCTCCCGGCTTCTTCAATAACTGCTGCTTCGTTTGTTGTATTCGTGCTGTGCATCATAATCAAACAATCAATAATAGTATTTGTTAGTACTATAACTTAAAGACGTATGTTGGTATTTTTTTATGGTTAAGTTAGCAATTAATGGAGATTTCTAAATTCTATGTACTATGTTATAATTGGAGTTGGCCTCAATGATAAGTGCTTTGCTGACAATGTTTTCATCAGGCCACCACACGCATGAATATTCCTGCAGAACTGCAGTACCAAGCAACAAGGCTCTTGTTTGTAGGGAGGGAGTGTTGTTGGGGTAAAAAATTAGCAATTCCCTGAAAAAGTGCTTTTCTGCATGAGCAATGGCAGGTAAAGTTATCCAAAGTGTGGTGGGTGGGGAGAGTATCATTTTCTTTCTCTTCCCTCCTTTATCTTTTGAAATATCTTTTGACTGTCCCTTATTATGGCATGAGGTATAGATTGTCCTTAGAGTACAAAATAGTGGTCCACGATCCATCCACTAAAGTACCGTGATTTATTAGTTTATTGGACCAGAACATAACTGGCACTTGACTTCTCTTTAATTTGGTTCGATAGAGAGACAAATGATAGTAATAATACTAGTAGTTAGGAAGACGAAATTAATCACTGTTAAATTAGGTGCAGAATAATTGCAAGGCCAAAAGGAAAGTAAGAACCATTATCAATTATCTTTAAATTAATCACTGTTAATTAATTAGGTGTTAGATGATTGCAGGGCAAGAATGAAATTTATTTGTCTGCCACTATATATGATGGTCATGATGGAATGAAATAGAAGAAGTTCGAGTGATTTTAAATTTGGGATTTTAAAATCATGAATAGAGGAAGCATGTACTTTGCTTTTTGATCTAAAATCAGTGTGTCTATTACATGCATTCTTTAGTTTATGGATCGTAAACATTCTTTCATAAGAATGACAATTATGTTATTTATTTTAACTGAAAACATGTGGTGCAAATCTTAAAAAAGGAATATTTTCGAAGAACATATTAGTCTTAAATATTGCATAAATTGTTTGACAAAATAATAAAATATTTTATATTGCGTGTCCTTTGTTGGATAGTGTCAATTTTTAATAAAAGCCATGATCATAAGATAGAAACTAGTTTTTAGTTGTTTGTAAGTAGTACATTTTCAAGATTTTTTCTTTACTATCTCTATTAACGGTTTAGGCCGACATATGTCAACAGTAAAATACTGTATCATTCTTAAATACTAACTTATGATTCGATGAGATTTACTTTGTTTATCGAAAACACTATTCATTACAAAAAGTTTCTATGATTAAATGTTAAAATGACTTTGTTAAAAATGTTATATTTTATATGTTTAAGCATGCATGAGTATTTGTGAAGAAAGAAACGTCTTGACTAATCTAAAAAGGGAGACTCTTAGACTAGCAAATACATATTTATATTTGATAGGGGTTTCTCTTAATGATGGGACTGAGAACTAAAATGTAATATATGCCAAAGAGCTCTTAAAGCTAGATAAATAAAGTGGCCAAAGACGGAAAAACATATTTCAACAATAAATTTAATTTCATAACATTTGCCTTGACACTTTAATTTTATAGCACCATAAACAATGAGTTTTTTTACTGAAAATGTAAAGACTTATACATAATAATATCTGTGTCTTTTATATCAATAAATATAGTATTTAAGAGGATGTCTTTTGTAATCCAAAAATCCTAACAACACAGTTTTTTATCTTTTTATCTACTATTTCTATATATTCAAAGATTATAGAAAACTATAAAACCAATTTTTCTATTCTTAGATTTTACTTGGAAAAACAAAATTAGTAATTGTTTCTTTGTATGATCAGGTTGTACTACATTCGTTTATTCTATATCAGCAATCAAATAAAGGACTTAATTTGTGACAGCACGATATGCATGACCACAATTAATAGTTTAATACTACACTTACACTGCATTGATTTTTGTATGAAATCAAATTAAATAGGAGTTAGTACTAATTATAAGAATCAGTGTATTGGATTAAATTAATTAGAATTTAAAACTAATTAGAGAGCAAAATAAGCAACAACAAAAAATTACAAAGATTGAAGACTTACCAAATGAATGTCGTCCCGAGAGGCCGTTAGAACTGAGTGGCGAACGAGTGAACTCGTCTAGAACAGACACGGGACTCGGCTGCTGCTGCTCACCGTTAACCACCGAACACTTCACCTCACAAACAGTTCGCTTAACCACTACCGCCTTCGGAGACGGAGCCGCGTCAGGAGTCTGAACTGCTTCGATGATTTTCTTCAGCGCTTTGAGATCGTCGTCACATCTCTGCAAAGCTCCTAGAAGCTTCTGTCTCTTCTCCACCACCGATTCCGGCGTTGACGGAAGCGCCTCTAATCCCATCAGCCTCGCCACTAACGCCGGTGTCTCTCCAATATTCTCCACAGACTTCCGACGAATCTCTGCCGGCAAAGTCGGACTCCTTGGAACTTCGCATGAAGACTTTGGATTTTGGACAGTAGATACTTTATTGCTCTTCTTCTCCCTCGTTTTTTCTGGTTGAGGATTGACAGTGGCGGTGGAAACGAAACAACCGTGATTCTTAGACTGTTTCTTTCCTGAAAATGAGAAGAAGAAAAAATGATATTAAAATATTATGCTATAACGTTTTCAAAAACTGTCGCAATTTCGGTATGCAGAGATGTTGCGGTGTGAATCAATGTGAAGTAATGTAACTAACCGAATGTGAGAAATCGGCGATGGTGACGGGAATTGGAAGTGGAAATGAGATGGAGAATGCCGGACATGCAGCCGATAGCCTTGACGTGAATTTTCTCCGGCGTGTTTTCTCGCCGTGATGCTGACGGAGACACGGTGCTGCATTGCCTCTTCATAGTTTTCTATTGTTCTCTTTTACTTTTCTCAAATCGAGTTTGGGTGAGTGGTGTAAATTGTAATAAAGGGTGTAACGGTTACGACGCTGAAGAAAGAACAAGGTGAAGATAAAGTAAACTGCACGTGGTGTGTTAATTATCATATCATGGTTCGGTTTCTTTTCCCTTTTCATCATTTTTCTTCTTTTATGTTTTCTTTTTTAAGAAAAATAAAACGATAATTTTATTTGGTAAGGCTTTTTTTTTGTTAATTGTTGGTTGAGTTTTGGGTTTTGCAATGATTATTAGCGGTGATTAGTGAAGTAATTGCGAGGGAGTGAGGTTTGTTGCAGTGCACGAGAACTCGATGACTGTCCCTGCAAAGATGGAAAAAGTAGGAAGGGTGGTCGTTAAAAGGAAAATTGAATAATGACAAGAGATGATATTGGAGGACATCCAAATATGCATGAAGCTCATTATGAATACTCAATTCAAATTGTAATGTGTTATAGTATATGCTTATTTTTGTGGTTTTTTGTTCTAATGTTTCATTTACACCCACATTCATTCACCCATTTGACACCATGTTCTTTATGAATTTTTATTTTTATTTTTTATTTTTATTTATTTTTGAAACATGTTTATATCAGAATAATTTAATTACACGAATAATTTAAGAAGATGAAAGAAAAGTCCAGCAAATTAGGATGGGTGAGCTTTCTAGGGAAGTCATAAACAACTTAAATCGTATGTGTAGCCGTTTTGAATCTGGGTAATAGATTGTCCAATTGGATTTGGGTCACTGGAACTAATTTCAACTATTCATTTACTTAATAGACCTATGAGGTGACGTGTATTAACCGTAACAGACAAAGAGAGGGGTTAAAGAAGATAATCGTCTTCCACATAATCCAAAGAAGAATGAATTCATTTCTTTTTATATTATATAAATACCACAACCTTAGGAGAAAAAAGGATATCTTTAATTTTCCTTCGGAACGCATATTCAGAGCTTCTTACCACTCTATAAAGTGAGCATGGGTGGTAGCTTCTCTGAAGATTCTCAAGAAAATAGATCTAGCTCCTTGCCTATTGTGGACGTGTTTCGAAATGCCACAACATCCAACACTCTATTATCTCTCGAATGTTTCTCGCTGAACACCGATTCAAGGGTTCAACAAATCGGTCGATCAAGATTAGGATTCTAGATTGAGAAAAGATTGACGGAATCACGAATTCCAACCTAGCTCTAGCTATCATGGTTATTATCACTGATAAAACTCTTACGGGACTCTTAGTAGACGATGAAAGTTCTTTCAACTCCCTTTTCAAAGATGCATTGAAACTAATGAGCCTCAGATAGAAAAATCAAAGTTCGTTTGGTGGAGAAGATTTGTTAGCCTTTTACGATTCAGTCACTCAATCTTGTAGAGTGATAGACCTGACAATATCAATTGAAGAAGGGATGAGTCAGAGAATAATAAATCTCTTGTTCCTCGTGATACAATGTAGAAGCTCCTTTAAAGGTATTATAGGAAGATCCTTTTTAGAGAAATTGGATGTGGTTGCTTCTATAGTCCACTTGAAGATAGCATATCATGAAGAAAGAGGAGTATCAGTAGCTATAACTACAAATTTACAAAAAAAAGAAATGAGAATCAGGAAGATAATTTGCAAGAATATTCTAACATCAATGTCAAGAAGCAGCGACGAGTTTGATCTGGATGCACACAAAGGCGAAGTCAGACATACCCCAAACAGAGAGTTTGAGTGCGAGCTTCTAGGAGAGAATTCGGCTGGGCGATTAAGATCAAATTTGGGCTTTCCCGCAAGGGTAGGTTCATGGTAATCCAGTTCCTCCAAGAAAACACCGACCTCTTTACTATCTCTCTGCACGAGATGCCTCATATCGATCGTGAGTGGCTTGTCATCAGTTTAACCTAGAAGCTCGTTCTCAGTATGTATCCCTGCGACAGAGAAAACAATCTCTTGAAAAGGCTGAGGTTCTATTGCAGCGGTATAGCGGAAAGCAAAAAATTAAAGTATTATTTTACTGGGTGTATTTAGATTATATTGTATCGTGTCCACAGAGATTGGTTATCGATTTTCCATTCGACAAATCATTCGTTAATGAGTTTAGGGGTTGAGTGGAAAGGGTAAAAACTATTGACAAGAAAATAAATTCATTCTTCCAAGGAACAACTTATCAAGCATGCATATAATCCACTCCAAACAAACTTAAACCTATTGACCAGTTATACTCAACCTATGATACTCATCAATGTCATCACGTGTCAAATACAACACCCACTATATCACCTTGGTGGCAGTCTCTCAACCAACTTCAACATCACAAAAGCCAACTGTGCTACTCGCATTAACGATCTCTCAGTCAACACAACCAACACATAGGCATTAATCACAGACACCCAAGTGAATGTCATCTGTAAATCTATCTCTAAAATCCAGAAACTAACAAATTATCATCCTAGATAAGAACTCAAGCAGTATATGTCTATAACAACCCAAATCACTAACACAACAAAAATCAAGGATAACAATCGACAAAGATTTGTAAAGAAAATTAAATATAACGCCATGGGTGACAAATATACATAAGATCAAAGTAAATACATATACACAACCCAACTAAAAAAGAATACACAAAGAAAAAGAGAATGAACCATAAATCTCTCGGTTACCCAGTGTCGATCGAGGAGCAATCTACCTCAGATCCTTCATATGCAAGCTCCATAGTTGTTATATAAGCTAATCCTAAGGAAAAATGAGGTTAATGGAGTTGGGAGAACAAAAACCACATCCAAAACCATAACCCTAACAAATGAAATGAAAATGAAATATAAAGAAAAATCGGGTCCGTGTGTGTCGTCCGGCAACATAAAAGCTTTTCCCGACACCGACCATTAAATACAAGGCCCAGGTTGCTCCATGTACGCAAGTGGTCTCAAATATCTTCTCTCGCCCGGAAAAGGGAAGCATCTCTTGGCGATATCCTTATTTCTCTCCCAGCGAGCTGCTGGCGAGCGCAAGTTAGTAGCTACTGGAAAAAGTACTCAGTCCTCTCGCCCCTACGTCACCCAATGAGGCAGACGTGAATGCTCTTCGCCTAGGCTTCACTCGGCAAGGCACACCAGAACAGCAACTTTTGTTGCTCTTCTTGCATAACTCCAATGGCTCTCTCTTCTTGGCCTTATTCCTTTATTGATCCAACACTGCATCTTTGAGCTTTTATTCCTCTTGCTTCAACAATGCTTAAATACCTATAAAATAAATATAAAACTATCAATTGATACACTATGTACACAAAAGTTCATTTTTCATAGACTAAACATATTTATACACGGAGTTGGGTTATTCAACTGATATTAACAACAAAGAGTCGATAAGTGCAACAAAAAGTATATACAATTTTCACTTATCAAACTCTCCCCAACTTGAACTTAATTGTCCTCAAACAAGAAACAAACAACCCGAAGAAACAAAAATGATCAACCAAATAATCACAAATCGACAAATTTTGAAAACAGAAAACAAATGCAATGGTTCAAATGAAAAACAATACATACAAAGTGAACACTTACCATTAAACTACGACTATAACAACCACGAAACAAATGCTAAATACAAAAATCATACCAAACATTCTAAAACAACACTAATTCACAAATGAATCACACCTAGCAAAATCAATCATAGGCAAATGAAAAACACACAAAAATGAGGTATTTTCACTCATCCACAATCTTGCAAGCAGTAGACTAAATTATACACTCATCTAAAAATCATGTTGAATACATAAAAGCAAGAATCACAAGGGTTTTTCAAGGATGTAATATGGTTTGGTTAACAAACAAAGGATAAGTCCTAAACCTAATCGAAACAAAAACATGCCTTAACCTAAGGGAGTGATCAACTCACAAAGACTCACGCAACACAATTTCAATCAAACTTCTTCTCCATTCCAAATTTCTCAAACCAATCACGATACTTATATGCACAATTATTTGAAATCTTTTTTGTTTTTCTTTTTCAAAGCTCTTTTTTATTTTTTATTTTTTTCTTTCTCTTTTAAAACCTCATAGAAATTAAAACATAAGCACATAAACATTCATCTCCCCAACTTGAATTCAACCATCATCGTAATATGAATACTCCCTACTTTCTAAGGCAAGGCAAAAATTCAAACTATAAATCATAGTTGAGGGTTCAAGAAAACAAAGAATCAATGTCCATACAAAAATGAGAATCAAACACTCATACACAAGCATTTATCAAAAATAACATGGACATTGACAAAAAGGTTCAAAAGGGATACAAAAGTTCACACACTCACAAGTTGAATTGGATATTTGGTTAGGTAGTTGTGCTCAAAATGAAACAAAATGCCTTGATCCTTTTCATGCATTTATACAATCAACACAAACAAAATATTAAGCATAATAAAATCCAATTAAAACAAGAATTATGGTCTCCAACATATGTGAACAATGGAAAGCTACCTCACAAAAAGGGTAGGAACTAAAGTGATTCACAAATGAACAAGTATACAAAAGAATGAGTGACATAAAAATCGTAAAAAGTCTAAGTATCATGAATATGCTAAAGTATAAAAAGCGATAAACACATACCTCGAATGTGTACAAAACCTTAACAAAATCATTACCAAGCATTCGCAAGTCGAAACGATCAAATTTGACAAATCACCTCAATATCCTTAAGCTATTCACAACAAGCTCAAAGACAAACACAAAAATAAACACAAATAATATACACATACTAAAAGACCGAATGAAATTGTCTAAACAAATTTAAAAGTGAAGATATGAAATTTAAGAACTAGTTCGAGTTAAATTTGTTTAGACAATTGCATTCAACTACCTAAACTAATAAAAACGAAAAACAATAAAACATGATTGTTTTACGTTGTAAGCTCGACGCCTGTTATTTAAGAAAGTTCCTCCAAGTTGCTTCCACCTAGTTATTCTTAACCAACACCCAAG